CTATAGATGGTCTCCAACTTACAATGGTTTGACTTATAATTTCTCAGCTTTTCGATGGTGCAAAAGCAATCTGCATTCAGCCGAAACTGTACTTTGAATTTTGATCTTTTCCTGGCTAGTGATGTGTGGTATGACACTCTCTCTCGTGATGCTGGGCGGAGGCGGCGAGCTGCATCTCTCAGGCAGCCATGTGATCACAAGAGTAAACAACCAGTACCCTTACAGCCATTCCGTACCCAGACAACCGTGCTGTTTTTCACTCTCAGTACAGTATTCAATAGATTACATGAGATATTCAACACTTTATTGTAAAACAGGCTTTGTGTTAGATGATTTTGCCCAACTATAGGCTAATGTAATTGTTCTGAGCACATTTAAGGGAGGTCTGGCTAAGCTATGACATTGGGTAGGTCAGATGTATTAAATGCATTTTTGACGTACGATATTTTCAACTTAGGATGAATTTTTCGAGATGTAACCCTGTCGTAAGTTGAGGGAGATTTGTAGTGTCATCACTAGGTGGGCCTGTGAAAGGAGAGCTGATCCCAGAGGCCAGGGCAGGCTCATTGAGAAGTGAAGATCAGGGTTGAGATCTGCTGGGGAGGAGCAGCGGGGTGCCAGGCTCCAATAGATTCGGGGATGCGGAGCTCTGTATGGGACAAAGTAGGTTAGAGCCACAGCCGATGGCAAAGTGAAGCCACTGGAGAGTTTTCCCATGGGGGTGACGGGATCAGGCTTTCATTTCTAAGCCACTGCTCTGGCTGCAGCCTGGAGAACACGATGAAGGGATGGGAGAAGAGGCTGCAGCACCCGTCCAGGAGAGGTGAGGTCAGTAACTACGGGTAGCAGGAGGCGGAGAGACCTGGAGCAGGCAGGACTTGAGTTAGCTTTGCATCGGTAGCTCTGCGCCCGGGGTCTGGTCTTGAACCTCTCTGGGAACATTTCTTCATATGTGCAATGGGAGCCATCTACTCTGCCTGGCTACAGTGTGGGTTAAATGCAATCATAACTGAAAAGAGCTTAGCATAGCCTGGCCTTAGTAAATGCCCAGTACGTGGCAACTCTCCATCTTGACAATTTTGCTTTAGGGTTTTACTGATATCCTTAAAGCCTGGTAGAGCTGGGGCCCTAATTCTTTTTCCCCCAGCCAGCCTTCTTCCGCCCTTAAGCATTCCTAGTCTACTCGTGTGTGTGTGTGTGTGTGTGTGTGTGTGTGTGTGTGTGTGTGTTCAGAGCCATGCATTTAGGAACCCATCTGGATGTGATCGTCTCCAGCTAGGATAGTGGGGAGGGTCTTCTCTGCATTCCATCTTCTGCTTAAACTTTTGTTGCAGCAAATCACGCCCCCCCACCTCAGGTCGCCTGTACTTCTCCCTTTGTTGTACTGGGGGCGTCCGGTCTGCACCCAGGAGGCTGCAGTCCGTTGCCCTCCCGACCTCAACACAAAGGCAGCTCCCCGTTGGGATGAAAGCCTTCCATTGACAGCACCCCGCTGCCCAGCCCACGAGAGCTCGCCCTCAAATTCTGAGCAGAACCTCCATCCCACACATTTTGACTCAGTCTTGAAGCATAAAAGGACATTATGTAAGCTTCAATTAACGCAGAGCCCTCACAGATCAGTTCTTAGAATTATTCCTGCCCCTCGGCAAATCTGCTCCTGGCGAGTGACTTTAATCTGGCTTTGAAAATTGCTTCTGAGGGGTAATCAAAGAGACTGCTGGTGCTGTTTCTGCTACATAAACCAAGGCTGGGTTCTCGTCTGGGGAAGCTGTGTGCCCCACACTCAGTGGGAAGTTGGTTCCTGGCTGCTCTCTGATAAGACCCACGAGTTTTCAAGGTACCCAAATCTAGTGAATTTATCATCTTGTCCCCAGATGATAATGACTTTGGTCAGCCCGAAGGGAAGCCACACGCTCCCTCTAAGCTGGCAGCTCATATCGGAGGCTGGGGATGGGGGACAGGGAAGCAGATTTGCTTCCTTCCCAGCGTGATGAAGCCTCGAGCAGGGCGCTGTGCTCTGATCTCCTTGAACAAGCAGACGTAAATAAGAGTGCTTCATTTCTGAATTACACACCGTTAATCTCATTAGCTACTCAACGATTTGACCCCTAGTAAATAAGTGGGATGCAATTAAATATAAAGTGTTTGTTAAAAGGAAAGTGGCCGGATGTGGAGTGTGGAGTTGCTGGTTCTGGAATAATCCATTGAGCCAACAGCCTCGTGGCTTGTGAGCGCTCCTGAGCCTCGTGCTCTCCAGAGGCCTGACCGAGGCACGTTACCTGCAGCCCAGGTGGTGTCACACGTGTCAGCCAGGGCTGGGCCAGGGCTTTCGGGGGGGCACATCTGTCCTCGCGACCATTTGGGGGTGGAGGGATTCTTATAACTTACCCTCTGAGTCTTCTCTTCTTTGCCCTCATCACTTCTGCTTTTGGGTCTGAAAATGCCAGTCCTGTTGAGACAGTAGCCACCGTCTCTTGGGTACTTCTTAAAGCTTTTCGGTATCTCAGGCACAGCATGCCTGTCATAGGTGCAGGAACCTACATAAGGATGACTGGCTTGGTGACGACGTGTACACACCTCCTCCAAGGATGTGGTGTGATGTCACGGACATTTCGTAGGTGAGGGGCTTGGCAAGAGGCTGGAATGGAGCCAGGGAAAGAGCCACCCATCCTCTGTCTCAGTCCGTTCAGGCCTTCGTAACAAAACTCCCATAGACTAGGCGGCTTCACAATAGACATCTATTTCTCGCAGTTCTGGGGGCTGGAAGTCCAACGTCAAGGTGCCGGCAGATTCGGTGTCTGGTGAGGGCCTGCTGCCTGGTTCATGGATGGCCGTCTTCTTGCTGCATCCTCACGTGGCAGAAGGGGCGAGGGACCTCTCTGGGGATTCTCTTATAAGGACACCAATCCCATTCCTGAGGGCTCAACCCTCAAGACCTAGTCATCTCCCAAAGGCCTCACCTCCTAATGCCATCCCCTTGGGGGTTAGGTTTCAACATATGAGTTTTGGGGACACAAACATTCAGTCTCCCTCCTTGGAAGCTTTTGTTCTTGGAGGCAGCATAGAGTGAATGAGAAGATCACAGCCCATGGAGTCGGATGCCCATCAGATCCAGGCTTAACCTCTCTGTTCTTACACGTGCTAAATGGCAGCGACAGTTGCCATCTTGCACAGCTCTCAGCAGGGTTGAATGAGACAATCCACGCCCTGCACTGATGTCTAATGAGTTTCATCCATTATTATTTTCCCAACTTTTCAGTTTGGGAAAGTTGAAACCTCACCTCAAAAATACTGAAAGGATAGTCTAATAAATGCCCGCATACTTACTGTCTCTGCTCACACTGCCGTAACGGCACACCACAGCCTGGGAGGCTAAACAACGGGAATTTATTCTCTCACAGTTCCAGTGGCTGGAATCCCGAGGTCAGGGTGCCAGCAGGGTTGGGTTCTCGGGGCACCGTCCTTCTTGGCTTGCAGATGGCACCTCCTCACTGTGTCTGCTGGTGGCCATCTCTCTGTGTGAGGGCACTCCTGGGGTCCCTTCCTCTTCTTATAAGGACACCAGTCCTGTTGGATTAGGACCCCACTCTTATTATGACCATGTTTAACCTTAATTACCTCCTTAAAGGCCCCATCTCCAAGTACAGTCCCATTGGGGGTTAGGGCTTCAACACATGGATGTTAGGGGATCACAATTCAGTCCATAACACATATTCCTAAATTTTAAGCGGAGTGTATTTCACCTTCCCACTCCATGCATCCCTTATAGAGGAATGCATGTGCCTTGCCTTGCGTGGAAAGCTGGAATTCTGGCACTGAACTTGGAGAGCAGAATCTTTCCTCTGGTCACATCCAAAACACCATGGGTCTATGAATACGTGAATGTGTGTATGTAACAGTTACAAGAAGATTCCGTAAATTTTCCTCCCTATAATAATTTTAAAGAACATGGTAAAAGCCTTAGAAAAACCATACTTCTGTTAACTTTGCCTTAAGCAATTTCTCTTGATACTAAACAATTTACGATCATAAAGAGTATACAGAATCACAGCTAGGTAAAAATAACAAAAATTGCACCTGCTAAAACATTTTGTAGAAAAAAAAGGAAATTCACTAGAGCACTTCAAGTGGCGAGCATGTGGGAGATATTTTTTCCTACATTTTAAAAATTTTGTATTGGCCATTTATTATTTTTAAATTTTAAAAATGCACTTAATTAAAACTATATAGAAATGAGGAACACTGTCCAAATATGGCAGGTGATAAACTATTTTACAATAATCGGATAGTTGGTTATCTACAGCAAGTCTATAATTCTGAGCCATGTTGCCCCAGGTTTCTTGCACATTTTAAAGTTTTTCTTCACACATTGTCCAGCTAAGTCAGTTCAAGTTAAGACAAATATGGGTATGAAGGAAATTCAGCTCCCAAGAGTTAGATATAGGTCATATGCAGAAATCCCACAGCTCAACAGAATTGATTTGGGGTTATGCCTCTCACAGTACCACCTGTTGGATGTGAAAGATCAATTTAACTGTTATCAGGAATAATGCTTTATTTCAAAGCCCGGCCTTGCCCACTTGGGCCTTTCCCCAAACATCCAAGGATCCCCAGAAGGGTTCGGGCGCTCCTTGTAAACCACACAGAACTGGTTCAAACCCTCTGTTACAGTTTACACTGATTAAACACTTTGAGTTTCCCACATTTTAGACTATTATGAATGTTTCCATATTTCCCTGTTCACTACTGACCTGCATGGAAAACCCCGAACTGAATGTCTGAGAGTCTGTGCATGAATTTCGGAGAGAGAGAGAGAGAGAGGGCATGTGTAATGGTTATGGGAGGGCTGGGATAGGGCGGGTCTCCTCATGGAGAGGAGGCAGCTGCACAGGACGGTGTGTTTGTGGCCTTTAGCAGGGAGAGGCTGGGGTGATTCTGCCTGCGAGGTGGCTCTGTCCTTGCATCCTTGTTGAAACTTTTAATGTTTTCATTGTTGGCAGCGTCGGGCATGGAGGCTCCTGCTCTGCTTCTGAGGGTGCTGCCAGCCTGGACCCATGCATCGTGTCCCCAGAGGTGACCGAGCCGAAGAAGCGCCCACAGGACGCCAGGGGCCCAGAAGGTTCTCCACTGCCCAGCCCACCCACGCCCAGGGAGCAGGAGCGCCCCTCGGCCGCTATGCCCTTTGCCGAGGGCCCCCCAGAAGTTTGCTTGGCAAGCCCAGCAGCGGCAACCGAAGATTGGCCTCTTGGTCAACATCCTGGGAGGGAACCTTCCCCAAATACCCCAGGGGACACCCTGGCAGCGTTTGTCACTGAGGCGGACAGCCTTACTCAGAGCAGCGCAGTTGCCATTGTCCCCAGTGCCGGGAGAGAGAAAGAGCTGAAGGAGGAGGGACATATAGTGTCTTCCTCCAGGTGCATTGACCAGTTGCCAGGAATTTCACCATCACCTCCTACAGAGCCAATGAAGGGAGAGCCATGTGGAGAGGATGGCCGGCCTGGTGGTTTCAAGTCCCAAGGGAAAGAGGCTGCAGGTGGTTTTCCCCCCACAGAGTCAGGGCAGGGGGTGGCTTCTGTACAAGTGGCCCCCACAGCCCCTACTGCAGCACAATTAGACAAGGAGAGCTCAGCTGGTCTGGAGGAGTGCCCCCCAAATCCGGAGACCCTGACCCCAAAAGACCCGGCCCCCAGAGTCTCAGACAGAGAGAAGCGCCAAGTGGAGGTGGCACCTCAGGATTCAGTGGATGGCCTGGGATTCCATGGGGTCTGCCAGCCCATGCAGAGCAGAGATTCAGGGGCTGCCCAAGAAGCCGAAGCGAGTGCTGCTTCCTGGGAAAGCTGCCAGCAACAAATGGGAGCACATCTGCCACATGCAGAGCTGCCCTGGGATTCTCTGAGTCCTGCCCTGGCACCAGGGGCTAGGGGCTCTGGGAAAGAGAACATGGATGCTGGTGAAGCTCAGGGCCACTCGCAGACAGGGACGCCAGGAACTGAGCCCAGTAAAGCTGTCTGTGCAGCAGCAGGCGACCAACCCGAAGAGGGGTTAGTTGTGAGCACCGAGCCTTCCCCACATGTGCCTGTGGAGGAAGCGCGTCCAGCTTCAAGCCTCACTTCACCGCCAGCTGCTCAGGCCTCTGTTGCTGTGGAGGAACCCAGCTGGTTGACCAGGGAGATGAGTTCCGGGGCTGAGATGCCAGTTCTTACAGATCCAGCCAAAGAGCTGGCAGATGAAGGGTTGGGGGGACAGGAGAAGCGCATGTCAGATCTCGGAGGTGAGGGAGAGGGTGCAGAAGGGAGCCCCAGAGAGCTTCCTGTGTCTTTGTCCCAGGAGGAGAGGGGAGAGCTCTCAACTGAGGAGCAAGGCCATGAAGTCCAACAAGGGCTGCTGCCCACTCCCCCTCCCAGTGCATCAGATGAAAGTGCCAGAAAGTCACTGGAGCCAAAGGAGGAAGCCCAGGCCCCGGAAAGCCCAGCTGTGGCTAAGGAGGAAAGCAGCGTGCCCGGGGCCGACCTTAGAGGACAGGAAGGAGCCCCAGAGCCATGTGACAATGCATATCCTGGGAACCTGTGGGGAGAGCAACCCCAGGCCTTTGGCTGCAAGCCTAACCCAGAGATGGAGAAAGACGAGGTTTCAAAGCTAACCAGTGATGTGGAGAGCAAAGTCCCTCCCAGCACGGACTCGGTACAGCCACTCAGAAAGGATGGTCCCAGCTATGTGGACAGGCCTGGCTCTCCATCAGAAGACGCAGCTTGGAGCTCAGTGGCCTGTGGGATGATGGGAGAAGCCTGTGTGGTCCATGCATCTGGCTCACTGCACAAGCCCGGTGAGCAGGATCCTGCCCTGCCCCCTGATCTGGATGGAGCCAGTGAACACATTCTTCCCAAAGGAGGTGTCTGGAAGGGGCCAGGATTGCAGACCAAATGTCCTGACACGCTTCAGGATGCGGGGGGTTTGGGAAGAATGGACTCTGTTCCTGTTTTAGAATCTGAGAAGTCGGATTTCCTGTCAACTCCTGCTGCAGAGGTGGTCCCCGAAGCCCAGGAAGTGGTGAGCACATCTGAAATAAAGACGAGGAGCCGCCCAGCCACACCGAAGCCTGGCAGCTGTGATGGAGAGAGCTTGCTGACGTCCCTGGACCAGCCTTGTGGGCTGGGGCATGATGCACCTGGACAGGAAGACCATGCTGATGGGCCACATCCCCCCGAGGAGAACTTCGCAGTGGACTGCGGGCTCACGACGCTCAGCCTGGAGCAAGACAGGGAGGGAAACCCGTCCTGCCCCGGGGACAGCTGGACACAAGTAGCTGCATCCGAGGGGCCCTCACTGTCTTCTGAGAACTGTCTGCAGCCATCCCAATCAGACCCAGAAGCATCTGCCTTTGATGTGCTCAGGGAGAAAGCCCAAGCGTGTGAAAATGGGAAAGAGACTTCTCCAGGTGATCCAGGTTTTCAGAGCCCGGGTGCAGACTCTCCCCAGATCCATGTGCCTGTGGAACCTCAGGAGGCTGTGAGCTTCTCCACTCATGGAGGAAAGGAACCAGCTTCCAGATCAGAACTTCAAAGTGAGCTCCTCAAAGGCAGTATGCCTAATGCTCCAAGTTCAGCTCCCAAGGACCCACTTCTGGAGGGTCCGGCGACAGGGCAGTCGGAGTTGTCAGCACCAATAGGACCAGAGATGCCTGCACTAGGGGAGAATGGGCAAGAGGGAGCAGGCAGTGGCAGTCTGCTCTCCAGGGTCTCGTCTCCTGCAGCAGACACCTTAAAAGACTCTTCTCTTGCAGGTAGCTTGAGCAGAAAGGAAAGTTGCTGTGCTGGGCAGGGGCCGAACGAGTCCCAACAGGAGCTGGTTGATATGCTGGAAGCCAGCAGCCAGCATGAAGAAGCTTGTCGCAGGGACGCAGGCATTTCTGAAGCAGCTGACTCTTGGCCCCTGCTCCAGGGCTTGGGAAAGACTGAGAAGGCAAGTAGGAACACAGTGGGGACCCCGCCTTGTCCGCCTGACTCAGTAGCTTTCCCGGATGCAGCTCACTGCCCACCAGCCCCAGTGTTCCCCTGTCCAAGAGTCACACCCGCCCAGGATGCCCCAGAGAGAGAAGCATGTGATGCAACCCAGGAAGGCAGGCAGCAACCAGTGCCGGCCCCGCAGAAGGAAATGGAGCATCCCACCGCCTCAGATGCGAAGGCGCAAAAGCTTCTTGGAAGTTTCCCATCAGCTGAGGAGCAGGGTGTGGAAGGTGAGGCTGCTAAGACTGGTAAGAACGCCAATGAAGGAGATCCGGGGATGCAGCGGGCTCTGGAGGAGCCAGGAGGAGCTGCTCTGAGTGGTGGCTTCCTTCAGACTGAGCAGTGCCCCTCCTCTGGGAAGGAATCTTCTACCGCTGCCCTAGGTGAGCCCAGCCAAGATGAGCAGCCCTCGGCCAGCTGCCAGGATGCTTTACTGCCAGCCGGAGAGCTGGGTGGGATTCCCAGCGCCACAGTGGACATTTCTGCACCCCAGGTCATCCTCGACCCGAAGAGGCTCCTGCCATCTGGGCCACCAGAAGAAGCTGCTCCTGACACTCCTTACCTGCATATCGACGGTGCTGCTAGGAAAGGGCCAGAAGACAGTGGGGTGAAAGCTGTTTCCTCTCAAGACCCCAGGGCTCCTGGTGAAAGCCCTTGTCCCACAGGGGAGCCCCTGCTCGCCTTGGAAAATGTCGCCTCCCTGAAGCTGTCTGCTGGCTCCCTTGCCTCCCTCTCACAACCAGGAGCTGCAGGTGGGGAAACCTCTGTGGAGCAAGCTAGCAGCGGAAGTCCCAAAGCTGGAAACGTTGAGGGACCTGTGGACTCCGTGCCCTACCTGGAGAGGATGCCGCTTCTGGCCAAGGGTAAGCAGACAACGGGAGAGGAGAAAGCAGCAAGTGATCCCGGTGCGGGTGCCAGGCCCAGTGAGATTCCAGCATGCCCTGCCAGTGGGGAAGGCATGGCAGGCAATGCAGCAGGGGAGACAGAGAACAGCAGGGAGAGGATGGTAGAACCTTCCGAAGATCCGAGGAGGGGCGTGTCAGGTGGTGTAGACTCAAGCTCCAGGCAGACCAGCATGATCGCTGGGTTCTCTGACTTCAGGCAGCACATCACCAAGATCTTTGAGAAGTCTGTGCTGGGAACCCTGACCACTGATCGGCCCCAGAGCACACCAGGAGGAAAGGCAGGAGCTGGGAGGAGCGTGGCGGGCAAGGACCTCGCTGTGCCGCTGAGCCCGGAGAAGCTTCCAGATGGGATTCAAGCAACGGCTGTTGCTCCTCTCCCCACCCCTCCTGCTGGACTCCGGGTGGACTCAAAGGAGAAGAAGCAAGAGTTGGCTGTAGAGGCTGAGATTTCCCATCTGGTTCCCCAGGGTCCAGCTCCAGAAAAGCTGCCAGGGCAGGGGGTGCTGGCTGCAGAGCAGAACCTGCCAGGTGCCAGGGTGGGGGTGGCCATGACTGGTGTCCCACAGGTGCAGAAGGAAAGCGAGAAACCAGAGGGGGCTGGGGAAGCTGGGCAGGGAGGCCAGGCCCACTCACAGCAGGGAAGCAGCCGGCAGGAATCAGCTTCGGGTCCTTGCTCACAGGTAGCTTCTCAGGAGATCCCTGAGGAGAAGGCTGCTGACTTGCAGGGGGCTCCCAAGAGCCATGGAGAAGGGGACTCGGCTCAAGACAACAGAATTCCTTCTGGAGAACAGCACCAGGAAACATCCACCAGTGACAGTCAACCCAGAGATGGTGCCGGGGGCTTTGCTCACACAAGGGCTGCGGGTGACATGCCAGGGTCCACCTCTGCCCTGGGAGCATCTGCTCCCCATGGGGATACTCCGACTGTGGCCCAGGCCATCAGTGAGGCCTGGCCCCCCAGCACACTGGGAGATGAGAAGACGCATGTTGGTGCTGCCTGGATCTTGGAAACACAAAATTCCCTGGGCAACCAGAGCACCCCTGAGCCACCCACTGGAGAAGTGGCGGACACTCCCCTGGAGCCCAGCTCGGTGGCAGGAGCTGCTGGGGAAGCAGAGGGTGACGTCACTTTGAGCACAGCTGAGACCGGAGCACGTGTGTCTGGTGACCTGCCTGAAACAGGTACTACCAGAATGTTCTCTGGTGAAGCTCGTGCCTTGGGGCTGCCAGGGAGCCGTGGGGACCCAGGCTGCTCTGACGGGGCTCTGGGGATGGAGGCTGCAGCCGCCCTGTGCGGGGACAGCCCAGCCGGTCACCAGCAGGCTGAGGAGCAGCCCGGGCCTGAGCTTCCCGATCCTGCTGCAGATGGGAGAGTGCGTGTCTCCTCACCTCCAAAACCTGACGAAACTCGGGACCTGAAGCTGCAAAACCTGGCTCCAGAAGCTCTCCATGATAAAAGGTACTTAGAAGAAATTCCCACGGGAATGTGGGGTCAGTTTCAAAAGTAATTCCCACCCTGATTTTTAAAAGTCAAACAGATGGGTAGTTTTTAATGAAGCTAAGTTTTCCATCTCTAATTGTTTAAATTCACCTGCTTACAATCTCCGGGTGTGCTGAGATTCTGAAACACGTGAGCAGTGGGTGGAGGTTGGGAGCTGTTGGTTTAACACGTTCTTTAATTCGTCTAACTGGAACTGTTGGAAAAGCGTGAAATGTTTACTGGCCAGCGGCACGCTCTTGGGTCATGGGTTACAGTCAGTCACATGTTTTTCTGGAGTTGAGATACATCTGCTTTTGAATATCTGGATTTATTTACACAGAGATGCTGAAGGGATCTAAAAGCATCTCAAAACTCTTGAATGCCTGAAGCTAATTTTTTTCTAGGGATTTTGGCAAAGTAGTGGCCTAAAGCTTTAATTGGGCTTTTCCAATAGGAAGGGGAGAGAATGCCCTTCTCACCATCTACTGCTTTCTTCACATTATCCCAGAAAGAGCCCCGGGCCTGGCCTATCCACCTTACCTTCCGTTCCTGAGAAGGATGCTCCAAACATCATGGGCGAGGTCATTTCAGATGAGGCCAGAAGTGCGGGAGGAGCAGAAAGGTGAGTGAAAAGGCGTCAGCCTCTGGAGAATCATGATGCCGTCCTTTGGCAGAGACACGCTGGATGTTTTGCCAAGGAGAGTACTTTATATACACGAGTCCTTCTGTAAGGAAGAAGCAAATAGCCTTCCCATTCTTGACAGGGGTAAAGACGTGCCTGAGATGACGATAAGCTGCATGGTTGTCAAAGGGACTGAGGGAGTTGCTTTCATATCTGAGCTTATTACCTTAGAAAAAAACCCCAGCTTTATTGAGATATAATTCACATACCATATAATTCACTCATTTAAAGTGTACAATTCAATGGCTTTTAGTATATCACAGAGTTGTGCAACCATCACAGTCAATTTTAGAACATTGTCATGCTCCCCCAAAAAACCCTGCACCCACGCCTTAGACATCACGCCCCAACCTCCCACCCCCCAAGCCCTGGACAACTACTAATCTAGTTTATTACCTTTTGAGGCAAATGAGTTCAATACTGATTTAATCTCTGCAGCAAGAATGTCTAATCACCAGCAACCACACTCCATAAAGATCTTGAGATTAGAGGAGGACGAGTGACAGACATGAGTGTGAATCCCAGACCTCACACCTGCAGGGTGCTTCCCTGTTCCTTCCCAAGTGAAATGCCACCTATGGTTGTGCAAAAGCTGCTACTCAGAGGTTTCTTCCTTTGGGGGAAAAGGAGAGAATTGTAGACAAAGACACACTGTGAACAAGCTTTGCAACATCCTTAGACCTTTGGCTGTTCCGGCACTCTGTGCGTGCGTGTGTGTGTGCACGTGTGCATGTGTGTACATGAGCAGAGTGGGGTTGGACTTTGAATTAGTACCCGTGGCTGGCCAGTGTATCCTACCAAACAGCTGCAGGCATTTTACACATGATCTGATTCATAATTTGCACGTGCCAAAAGAATGCCTGCTCACCTGTTTTTCGAGTCTGAGTGCTTCCACAGATACCCAGCTGCCGCTCCTGCCCAATGAGGGTGGGTCTCACAACTCCGGGCCAGCGAGATGCAGGCGCATGGCGCTGAGACAGATGCGAGTTTAATCTGTGCTGGACATTTGTCTCTGCTGCTGACTTAGCACTCGATCCCCTGCTGCCCTTGCTGGTGTATATTTTTTACATTCCCACTTAAAGTGTAGGAAAAATATCTACCTAGGAACATCCTGCCCCTCCCCGCAAATGATGCATTAGCTCCTTCTTCAATGTCCCCGGACGTTGTATCACCTTCGTGGAGAACTCAGGGACAGACATTGGACAGTTCAGTAAGTCCTTCATGGCTCATTGTCTTAATCACTTTAAATTTTAAAATGGCAATTTCTAAATTAGTATTAGAAAATTTGTTAGGTATAGAAAAGTATAAAAAAAGAGAAAAATTTGCTCATGATTATTGTTACTTATTATTTTAGTGTATTTTCATCTGTCGGTTTTTTCTATTTAAATATTTACAGAGCCACCAAAAATTTGCAAACATAAATCATAGTGGCCGAAGTTGTGTAACTGACCACAGCTGAGCAGGCAGAGGACATCTAGGCTCCCACGAGTGTTTCACTCGTGGCTCACTCTGCTCCGTTTGAGGGTCCGTCGGGCGGTAGGCTGTTAGATTCTCTGGGTCTGCGCCGTCCACATTGGCTGCCACTCGTCACGTGAGTGGAGATGTGCTGTAAGTGTAAAATACACACCAGACGCTGAAGACTTAGTATGAAAAAAGAATAGAAAATACATCGTTAATAATTGTTATATTGATTATTTATTAAAATGATATTTTGGATGTATTGAGTTAGAATATATTATTAAAATTAATTTTCCTTGTTTCTTTTTGCTGCTTTTAATGTGGCTACCAAAAGTTTTTAAATCACATTTGTGGCTTTTGCATCCACGGCTTGCATTTGTGGCTTGAGGTCTATATCCGTTTAGATCGTTTGGCTCCATAACCTACTTTGTCCTGGTCCTTGAAGGAAATGAAGGTGAACAGAGCTGGCCTTTCCTGTGCTGTGGGCTCTTGGGAAAAAGGTCTCCCACTGGTTGAAGGTTTCTGGGAAGAATTCTGATTGGACTCTCCCCTCCAGCATGAGGTGGGGTGACCTCTGGCTTCCTTCCTTTGAGGAGAATTACAGAGGCAGCAACGTCTGAGCAAATAGGCCACAGCAGCTTCCGGCTTATGCTTAGTAGACAGTCAAGGGTCTCTGGAAGGTATAGACCAGCTGTGTCCAATAGAAATATGATGTGAGCCACAAATGCAATCTTGAATTTTCTAGTAGCCACATTAAAAAAACGGAAACATGGGGCCGGCCCTGTGGTCGAGTGGTTAAGTTCACGTGCTCCACTTTGGCTGCCCAGGATTTCACCGGTTTGAATCCTGGGCGCAGACATGGCACCGCTCATCAGGCCATGTTGAGGTGGCATCCCACATGCCACAATTAGAAGGACCCACAACTAAAATATACAACTATGTACCGGGGGGCTTTGGGAGAAAAAGGAAAAAATAAAATCTTTAAAAAAAAAATAACCAAACAGAAACAGGTAAAATTAATTTTACTAAAATATTTTATTTATCCAGTATATCATATATATTATCATTTCAACATCATATCAGTCAACTGTGATAAGTCATACAACTTCAGTCTCCAAGATTTATGTTTGCAAAGAGTTTTGATGGCAGGGGGAAGAAACAGCTCTGTAAATATTTAAACAGACATGATTGATTTCAACAATCAATATAAAATTATTAAGGTGATAGCCTACATTCTTGTTTTCACAGTAGGTCTTTGAAATCTGGTGTGTATTTCATACTCACAGCACATCTCAGTTTGGACTAGCCATATTCCAAGCACTCAACAGCCACACAGGGCAAGTGGCTGCCATATTGGACACCCCAGCCCTCATAGAGCTGTAACAGTTATTGACAATGATCCAGAAGGCCGCGCCTTCACATGGGGACCCCAAAGTCCCCCGTCTCTCTGTCCAGCAACTTCATTCCTACAGGTTTGACATCAATGCTGGAAATGCTCCTTTGCCTTGAGGAGGAGACTCAGTACCTCTGGGGAACCTGTCATCACGAGCGGGCCGTGCCGTGGAGCTGGGCGGGTCTCACAGAAAGTCCAGCCAAGGCCAGGGCGGGTGTGTGCATCCTGGGAGCTGCAGGTGTTGCACATAAAGGTGAAATTCAGCAGCAGTCTGGGGACGTTGGGTGGCCACACATCAACAGAAGCTACCAGGAGCTGGATGGTAATGAAGGCCAGAGCAGGGCTTCCAGACTCACACCCCAGCTCTGCCCCTGGCTGGTTACATACATAACCTCGGTGTGCCCATCTGTAGACTGGGATGATGCCAGCTGTACCTGGCTCACTGAGATAATGATTTGAGTGCAATGCCAGCACGTTCTGGCACTCGGCAGTGCCGGGTTCCCTATCGCAGTTCTATGCGATGGGCTGTCCCCGTGCAGCAAACAGTGGCCACCACCCGTCTTCATGTGGTTGAGGTTCCAACCTGGCCATCTTTCTTTTCTAATACCGAATTCTTTTTCTGCTAAAATATCGTAATGGCCGAAGAGATTGAATTCTTCCTTACCTCCTACTCTGTAGCCCACAGTGATCTCCTTCAAGTTAAAATTTTTTGAGATTGTATTTTATTGTAAAACCTCATATGTATCTTTCATTGTGTACCATATTGGATTGCATTTCAACACAGAAATAATGTTTTGAGTTGCCACGAGGAGAGCAAAGCAAATCAAAACCCAATTTTCTACTCTCTTGTTGGTTAGCATGTGATACGCTTCTGTTGAATGTGTTGAATTTTGAAGATTCTGCTGACTTGAACAGAGCCCATACAACAGATCAGATGCAGTATCTAAGCCATGTCTCTTTTTCATCTTGAAGACGGGATGGTTTGATAACTTAGTCTCATACACATGTGGATGCAGGGAGCACAAATATCTTTGCTGCCTATTTCTCAACTTTTGAGGTCAAATTGGCACTGCTGGTGGATGTACCACAGATGTCCTGTGGCTTTGCTTACCTCCAGCCACCACCCCACATCCAAGGGGAAATGCAGCCCCCATCTCTGAGAAGCAGGCTCTGGCAGACAGCTCGGCTGTGGACTTCTGTGCATTGTGTCGTCCCTTCCTGTGGAAGAGTTTGGGACCCACAGACAGCCTCGCTTTGTTTTTAGATTGTTCTACAGATGGTGCTTGAATTGATTTTGAGTTTGTACACATACAATTCTCTTCCTTCTGGATGGCAAGTCTAGAATTCGGCATTTTGATTATCACCACTGATGATCAGACATGTATGTAGTTCTGGATCCATCCTGGACATCCTCAAGCTTGTTTTTGCTGAACACTTATTGAAAGGGGTCTTTTCTTTTCCACTTGGGGAAATGGGTAGAAGGGTATCCTTTTCAATTATTGGTGCATTTTGAGAGAATTAAATGATTCCCAGATGCTTAGGGTCTTTGTGTAGACCTGGGCTAACTCATGAAGGGCAGCTGGGTTGAAAAGTTGAGGGAGTTAGGGAGGGAGAACAGACAGGGACAGCTGGCCCCGTGCCGAGGAAGTCCTGGCTGGACCTGAACGTGGCCTCGGAGCTGCTCCCACCCTTCCTCCCACGCTCGCTTCCACTCCATCTCTCTCTCCTCCTTCTCTCTCCTCCTCCTTCTAAAATTACCAGCTGTGACACCGTGTTTTTGAGTTTAAGGATAAGGTCTTAGAGGATGGCGACAGCTGTATAAATTAAGGGAAAGAAAAAAAGCATTCAAGCAAAGGTCTCTTAGCAGATAAAGCCAGGACAACATCCCCCCTCCACTCCCTCCCCGCCTGCGATCCTCTGGGCTTGATTTTATCTTACATCGCTTCTCTTCTCTTCAGCTCCCTTCTGAGAAGTACTGGGCTGTTTCAGAGCTACAACTCTGACGCTCCTTTTGCTTGGAGCAATTTTCTTCCCCAATGGGAGGCAGTAGAGTAAGGCAGACCCGTTCATATCCCAGCGGAGTTTTCCT